TTCCTCGCAGCCGTGACAGGAGAGGCTCCGCAGCCTTTTGCACGGCTGAAGTCAGTGTGTGAACGCCATAGAAGTGGAGGATGTTCTCATCGATGTCCGGTCGCTTCTTTGCCTCTGCTAGAGAGCGAGTGACAAGAAGGAGAAGCGCAGTAGCCACTGGGATCAATCAAAAGGCACCTTGTCCTCGGAGACAGGCGGCAGGTCCTCGGCATGTGAGCGCAGCTGCGTGGCAGGTACACGCGCCCGGTAAGTGCAATGTGTAACACATAGTTAAACGCAGCAGCCTCATTACGGCGAAAATGCTAGCAGCTACCTTGACAAAAAGGATTTGAGAGAGAGGACATTGACCTGAAACTGAGGTCATCACAGGCACTTTGTTCTCAGAGACAGATGGATGGTTCTCGGCCTGTGAGCTCCACGTGGCTGCAATGGTGGCTCTAGGCATGCACAGGAACATGAAACAGCAACACGTTCCAGAAAGAGAAGAAAGATCACTCCGACGCTGCCCACGCAACGCGCCTTTGTCTCGGCGAGGTGCACAATGCTATTGGCCTGTAAATTCAAGTTGGGACCAAGTGACATGAGGTGGAGAAGGGCATGGAAAGAAGCAAAGACAGACTTCCACCTCACCTCTCACAGCTCTTTTGTTCGATTTGAGCACTCTGCGGGTAGCCAAGTTGCGTGGAGACTGCCCGGCGTAGCGGCAGCCTAATGCATGCTTGGAAATGGAAATGGGCCCCTTGAGAGGACAGAGTGCTTGAGGGCTTCACCTGAGACAGTGTAGTTGGTGGATGAGGGTCGATGTCGGTGTCCAGTACGTCCTGCGCAGAGGTCCACACTTTTCTTCCGTGTTCCATGTCATCATGCCCAACCATGGTAGGAGGCTATGTCATCCATTCCTCATCTAGATCAAGATCCACGTCAATGGTCCCCGCGGCCAGGGCACGCCAGCAGCGGTCTGCAAAACCTGGATGGGAGAACCGAAAGTTGAAAGACCGCCACTGCGTGCAAGTGATGCTGAGGCTCCAGCCTGTCACAGCGTCGTTCTCCTTACAATCGTCCTGCAGGGGCTGGTGGTGAATGAGAAACACGACTGAGCTTCCCAGTGGAACGGTCCTGATCGAAGTCGAGACTGCGGGGCGTGGCCGCCCGATGCGCGGAACGGCAAGCCCGTTGTGCCGGCGTGCGGCTGCGCTGGAGTAAAGCGCCCCCACAAGAGTAGCAAAACTTTGCTGGGGTGGTGAGGGCTGTGGCGCAATGAGCGCAGACCAGCATCAAGCAGCAGTGTAACGCTGTGAAGAAAAGAGAGTTGCGTGGTCATGCATGTTATGTAGCATCGTGGCGCGCATGCGGCTGGGCTTGATCACTGCGCAGTATCTGGAGTGAATGGTTACTTGACCTGTTCATGGCTGTCTGAGGCATGGACGTGGAGATGTGTATTGATACACTGTGGGCCACTGACACTCGCAGTGCGAACAAAGTTCAAAAAAGGGAATGTCGATGCGGACTTGGAACGCAACCATGGTCTGGGGCCACACGCCACAAACTGAAGCGGTAGAGCGTGGAACCTGACGACGTCGAGTCAATCAGAAAAGCTTCACGCGTGTGGTACACATGCACGGCGAAATAATGTTTGTGCGGAGAATGACTGATTCAAAAGCTGCTGGTAAACGCAGCTGCCATGCGCGGCCACGTCATTTTGCGTGCTTTGCATGAGGTAGGTGTGAGACTTACGGTCAATGCCTCACCCCCTTTCCGAACTTGCCACGATGGCAGGATGCTGGGTCAGCTTGGCCCCGCACTCTGAGCAGAATTGGCCTTCCTGCTCGCTTTGCAAGTGGAACACCATTGTAAGGAAATAGGCCGCGCATCCGTCAGCTTTTCCCCACATTGACCACAAAAGGGTCCGCGACGCTTTGCGTGACACTTGGGGCAGCAGCCAAGAGGTGACTGCTGAGACTGCATGGGTGGAGGCTGAATGGTCCCGGTCAAAGAGTGCCCCTCAATGCGAACTTCAGGCCGCAACATCCCTGAGTCCCACTGCAGGAAAGTAGCAGGTTGCACGAGTGCCAGGGGTGAGGTCGTCGTCTGCAGAGCGGTCATATTGCATGCATGCTGTTTGAGCAATTCCATTGAAGCATGAGGGAGTGTCCAGGCCGACCAGCTTTCTTCATTGAAGATGAGCATCAACTTGGCAAAAGGGAATTGGTTCTGAAGGTGGTACTGCATGCAAACATCTGTGGCTGAAGGCTCGCGTGTGGGTATGAGGCGAACCTGATGATGCGAGTGGGACCACCCCAAGCACACTTTGTTGCCTGCCCGAAACTGCTCGTTGGCTTCGGCCCACTGAGCATGTCCCGCCGGTGTCACTTCGCACGCGCAGACCGTGGACCAATGCTCCACCTGCAAACAAAAACAGCGAGTGGGAGCGGCAGCAGAATGTGCAGAACGTGGATTTCGCGCACTTGGAATGAGATGTGGTATGTGCTTGAAATGGTGCTACAGTTTAATGCAATGGTACATAGAACCTAGTGGCTCTGTACTCCGGGCCTGCAAAATGTCGGTGAGGACGTGGGCCGTATGCGGTGCAGCGGCCAACCTCCCACCATACAGCAGTAGCAGCGTCTCCACGCCCGCCGTGTCATTTGCACGGAAGAGCTCGCGCATGGTCTGGATGGCACCCATGTGAATGCGGACATCTGCATACCCCTCTTGGCCCGCGTTCCTCTGAGCTCCGATCGTGCGGTGCAGCTGTGCGCCGCCTTCATCAATGCGCACAAAGGAGTCTAGGAGACTGCGTGTGTCCACAGCTCTGCTTGCAATCTTGGGATTGTCGTGGGCTGAGAGCGATTGCAAAAGTTGACCCAGCCCTTCCTTTGCAAGGACATCGCGCCAGCGAAACCCCGCTGGCTGCTCCTTCGTGATCCTCCGACACGCTGCGCGCAGCTTCTCCAGCAAGCCACTCGTTGTTTGTGGGGGCAGGTGCGGCTGCGAAAGCTTCTGGGTATAGCTGCGTACCTCTTCCAATGCTGTGCGCAAAGCCTGCAAGCGCTGCGCCTCCATATCAACTTCAAAGTGATCATCCAGCTGCGAGCTGCGTGCATCGGGGGGACTCTGCGCAATGATCTCCGACTCATCTGGTCTTTGCCTCTTGCCACACAGACCTGGCGTGGACGCAACAGCAACGCACCACGTCTTAGAGTATTCAGTGTGTGGTTGAAAATGTGTTGCAGTGGGTGTGAGGTGAAGGCGTGGTAAAAGTTAAAAGGTATGAAGGATCTATCAACACACCGGCCTGGCGCAGGTGCCCTGGCGTCGCAAGACTCGTCCTGGTTCCACATGCGCACTGCAGCATGATGTGAGCAACAGCGCCTCGTTCGGAACCACCAACACGTGCACGATGCGTTGTGACACGCCAGGATGGCAGGGTCCAAGCTCCATTGCACCACAGCATACTTCTCAAAGAAATGTGTGTAGCGCTGAACATCAATGACACTCTCACGTGGCGTCTGTTCGTCTGGCAAGGCAGGTCGGAGAACTCCAGCGCGGCGCCAAAACTGTTCATGCCGGTCGGTGTGCAGAGGCAGCTGCAGAGCATCAATGAGGACACGAGCATCCGTCTCCGAGACTTCTTTTCCCTTGACAACATCACGACACCACTGGTGCATGACATAAAATCTGAAGCCCTGTTGATGCAAAACAACTTGCGCCGCTTGACCCTGTTTTGCGTAGTGCGCAACGGAAGGGTAGCCAGAGTAGCGCTGAACTGCTTCATTGGGATGCAGCAAGCTGTCAGGCACACGTGGGTGGAATTCCGTGGCCGTCTCCTGTTCATACTTGGCATTGCAAAGCTCCGAGCGGAAAACGTGGTTCATATGTTGGAGGAAGGTCTCGATGCCGGGCAAGCTTGAAGCAGTCACATTGCGAGTGTCCAGCTCTGCCTTTGCTTTCATTAAACGTCGCTTGAGAGCTCGGTTGTATGACTCCACCGAATTGGTGTCCGCGCCAAATGCCAGCGTAGCAAGAAACTTGTGGTGCCAGGTGGCGTAATACATGCCAGAGTCAGTGCGACGGAGATACTCCTTCTCAAAGTAGGCCGCCCACTCCTGAGACATGCAATGAGTTTTGAATTGACGACAGCAAAACTTAATTGAAACATGGGTGTCAACGATCAGACAGTGACAATGATCAGCTTTCCGTCGACAGATACAAGGCAAACAAGAACTTAGGCAGAGTGCGATCAAGTTTCTTCTTCAGCGTCTTCATGTCTTGCGCGGGCCAGCAAGTGAAAACACAGGAAATCAAAGATCACTGGCGTCCACGCTGTCTGCATGAGGGTGATGTATCTCCTGAATATCTTGGCAGAGTGGTGGCAGCGAAGCTTCTTCCAGCCACTGTAGCCAGCCATGGTTGCATTCCTGCGGCAGTGCTCGCCGCACTCACGAACTTCAGGCTGCCCCTCGCATAAGCGTAGCAGTCCTGGGGTCAGCAGGTAACATGCGAAAAATGTGTGACACTAGCCTTGATCGTCCAAAGGGCTGTGGAAACCACAGCCTTTCTTCAGGGTCCGGTCTTGTGCAGCCCTAGGCCACCAAATACCTGAGGGGTATATTCATAACATATACTAGTCATTGCCTCACAATGAAGATGGAAAGAACACATTCCCATCACAGTTTTTGCGTGATCCACACAGCTTTCATGGTTACATCACGGTTACCTCACGGCCTTTACTGGTATTTGGGGGGGGCTTATGTGGTTTTTGAGGTGCGTGTTCACTGGTACATCACGCTCACTTCACGGTCCCGGGCTCTGACCTCAACTGTTATGGAGAAGAATTATAGAGAAGAAGAATTTGGATGGTCTCCTTAAGCACTATGTCAGCGGTAGCTGGGAGGCCCTCGATATGCTGTTTTGGGAAAGTCGCACCGGGGCTGCCGATTCCGGAGCCGAGGAAGACCAAGGTAGGCGATGCAACTTAGCATGTCGGTGAAGCCCGCAACCTGGCCTCGTCGTGGAGCTTCTGCAAAATCGGTGACAACCATGCAGCACGTACGGAGCTTCGCTGCCAGGGCTGGCTTGGCTTGCGCGAGATACTCCAAGTAGACGTCAGCAGACTGCATGCACGCAGAAGACCCTTCAGATTCTTGCAAGGAATAAAAGAGCGGAGCGAACGACACCCGTGGGAGGAAGACCTGACCACGGCCTCCCGGGCCAGCGCGTACTTTGCCAGGTGAAGTGACCAAGTGCAGAAGTCCACCAATGTAGCACGTGTATCGGCCCCACACAACTTTGAACGTGCCATCCGCAGCCAGACAAATCGGTGCACTGCGCGGCAAATTCTCCAGGACCTTCTGATGTCCTGCGCATCCAAAAGCAAGTCGGAATCTCTTGCCTTCTCCCGCAGCATCAATGCAGTGGCCGAATATCACAGCCTCATGAGGGCCGCCGACAAGATGCAAACGTTCATCTGCCCAGCGTCTGATCTGTGCGCAGCTCTGTGTCCTCTCCCGCTGCCGCGCATGGGCCCTGAGCCGCTTGAACTTCCCAGCGATGCGCTTACGGCCTGCTTCTGTGGCACAACCTGCGTCGTGTAGAGCTACGTGCATTTGGGCCTCAGAGCTGTTCTGTCCCAGTGCTCGGGTGGCCTTGATCTCATGGATACTCCAACCTCGTATTTTTTGCTGCAAGGATCAGCGCTGTGCTGCCCTGCGTAGTGGAGGACATAGTTGTTGTCTGCGACGGCTGTTGCACGCACACGCATGGAACACTTGGGCTGGCAGGTGATGCAGTGTGAAGCGATCTGCCTCTGCGGCACGAAGCGCTCATGCCCAGGGTTGAAGGCCGCTGCAAGCCATGGAGGATCATCGAGCAAAGTCCTGTCTGAGACACGTTGGTGCAACTCCTTCAAAGATACATCGGCACCCACGGCACCAACGGTAACGTTGGCTTGCTCCCGCCAAACCAACCGCTTGGGCATGCCTGCCCGCAGGCCCAAGGACTGCGGCAAACACAGACACATACCCACAGTGCGACGTGGAAGTGTGAAGCGACTGAGAAACGTATAACTTAATTCACAAGTTGTGCTCTGCAGAAAATCTAGATTCCAATACACAGTGCTTTCATGGAGTGGCCTGGATGCCTTCAAAGATACATCGGCACCAACGGTAACGCTGGCTTGCGCCCGCTAAACCAAAAGCCTGGGGCGGGCCCAAGGACTGCGGCAAAGACCGACACATACCCACAGTGCGACGTGGAAGTGTGAAGTGAGTGAGAAACGTATACAGTAACTTGATTCACAATTGGTGCTCTGCTGAAAATGTAGATTCCAATACACAGCGCTTTCATGGAGTGGCCTGGGTGTTCATGGCACTGGCCGCACATGCCGACACCATGGAGGAAGGAACAGTGTCTGACCTTGGATGTAACGCAAAGAGGCACTGATCACTGGACTCTGTGTGCACATGCTGCAATGACTCCAGTGCATAGGGCACGCAACTGAGCATAGGGCTCCACCGCATGTTTGTCTGCGGGTAGTAGGTAGCAAGCGCCTACGGAGGATGCGCGTCAGCATGGTGCACTGCGTAGCATGCATCCCTTAGACTCTACATCTCACCTGAGTAATGATTTTCTGGCGCTGCACTCCACGTGTGTGTGTATCACGAGGCGCGTCGCCGGGCTTGACAGAGCAAAGCTCAAGAGCGGTCCATACTGGGGACAGCGCCATGTGTATGGACGCAGCCCAATCCAGACCATCAACAAAATCAAGACATGGCTGTGGGACAACAGTGCAGGCTCCTCCAAGGATGACCTCTGCGGAAGGGAGACATCCTGGATTCTTTCCACCATCACTGGGGTGGCCGCCTCACGCTCCTCGGGACCGAAGACCTACTCGGACCCAGGCGGTCTTCGGGACCAACTGCCCCGAGAAACGCGTGGAAGGCATCTGTTTGTCCAATGAAGTGTCGATGTCGGACCTTTATTGGAGTTGCGCTCATTTGGAAAAGCGAAACCCGTAGGTGCTGAGCCGCAGAGCGCGCTCTCCACGACCAGCCGCTTCAGGTCCATTGACAAAGGTGTCCACAGCGCGCCGCGCAAGCACATAGAGCAGTAGCAGTAGACATAGCTACAAGACTCAAGGGCGTACCAAGCAGACAGAGATACCACTGTAGGACAACAGTGCCGAGGTTGTGCAAGGATGACCTGTCGTACCCAGGCCAACTGCCCCGACGCGAAACGCGCAGGAGCATCTGTTTGCCCAAGCCTGTGTCTATGTCCGACCTTTGTTGGAGGCGTGCCCACTTGGCAAAGCAAAGCCCGTAGGTGCTGAGCCGCAGGGAGCTCCCCGCGACCAGCTGCTTCCGGTCCACAACACATGTGACTCAATCGGCTGCGCAGGCACGCAGAGCACGCGAAACAGAAGGTAGAGTCCACACAGGATGGAGAAGGCGTGCACCATAAGTACGAGCGTGCGCTGCGCTTGTCTAAGCGAGCTCCGCACCGCTTTGCAGGTGTGTAGGCTCACGAACATGTATTTCGCGCTAAAGTGCAATACACTGTCCACATGCGCGGGTCCCATCTCGTTTAGAGGACTTTAGTAACATGCAAAGAAAGGACTCGCTGTAGGCTACTCTAGTAAAGACCAATTAAAAATGGTTTCTTGCCATGTTGCGTTCCATCAGCAAAAGACACACCGCCTGCCTTGAGCTCAGCCACGAAAAGCTGCCGGCTCAGACAGGGCCAGCGACTCCGATCCAATCCTGCGTCACCGCTCAAACTTGGACACGCTGAAAATGTCTTCTTGCAAAAATGTCGTACTCGCTGCCGTCCTCTCATTATCCCTGTGGAAGTCCATCCACAGGGACTTGGCGGACTCCTTGTCAGAGGTCAGGGTGCTGCACGCACTCAGAGCCTTACGGCCCTGGATGCGGTAAGCGCCTGGCCTAGGGCCCAGTCGGAGAATGGTCGCAGCAGTGTGCAATCTTAACTTAACATTACCATTTGAATGAGTTGCAGAAAAAATGGAGTCCGTGCGTTCCCAGCGCACTCGCCAATCATGTCGAGGGGCGGTGGGGACAACGAGCTCGCAGGCTTGCGGATGTAGTTCCTCCCCTGGTAGGTCACAATCTCGCACATTGCATCCTGCAAATGTGAGCGAGCGGCAAGACCGTGCGAGAGTCTCGCGCGCGGAGACGAGCAGCTGGTAAACCAAAGTAAGTTCCATCAACTGTGTGTGTCTATGTGTGTGTCTCTTTGGAAGAAGGAAGGTTTGTCAATCCTGACCTTGTCTTGCAACGGCTCTTCGAGCGGCAGCAGGTCATACGGCGTCGTCGTGAGGACGGCCTCGTCAGTCTCAACAAGCTGCACAGCCTGCTGTCCCACTGCGCCCATGTGCGCACGCAAGCGCTCCGCCGGCGACATCCGGCACCACTCGTCTCGGTAGCTGGTCGCTCTGCTTCTCAGGCCTTTGTGTTTCCACACAGCGTTGGCCGTGCACACGTCAGGGCCGAAGACCTTCCGCTCCAGCGCTGATTGGACCATCTTGTTGCAGTCCATGCAGCGCCCGCCCACCGGGCGTCTCAACTTGCTTTGTTTGTTGTACACCCATCGAAGCCAAGATGTCTCACCAGGACCACGAGAGCAAATGGAGCAACGTAAAGGGCTCTCTGATACCTCGCGCACAGGTCTGATCAAGAATTGATCCAGCTTGTCTACAATAATTATATGCGAATTTGGAACAGTCCAACACATATTGGGGTTCCCTGAGTCCCTTGAGACACTTTTTATAGCATCTCCGTGGTTTGGGTTTCTCGCGACGTAATATGGAACTAAAAAGAAAACATTGCTCGCATGAAGCCTCTGCATCAGCAAACTTCCGCTTCCTCGGTGCAAAAGCGTTGCGTCGCCTCTCTGAGGCTCCTGAAGTCCAGGCGCCAGTAATGTTCAATGCAAAGCATGGCAGTGCGCGGAAAAGGCGTTCTGACTGTCAATGTGCAAGATTTCCAATGCGGCCCGCCGCTATCAGGCTGCTCACTAAGGGATGCAACTGTACCACGCACGTTCCCCAATGTGGGGCACACTCAAAGAGTCCAATGGCTTTTGGTCAAAAAATCCCATCTGCGCGCGCGGTCCCCGCCAGTCCTGGAAAGTCTGGAGCAGCAGCGCATCCTGGCAGTCACAGAAGTCAGGTTGTGGTGGTGGTGGTGGTGGTACTGACAAGCTGAACCAATATGCGTTCTTCTGGACGAGACATGCAGCCGCTTGCCTTCCTCTGGCTTCACTGCCAGCCAAGTCTGGCGGCCGCGAGCCCAACTGTCCCTGAGATCAAAAGCTGCATGAACAGAATCAAAGTAGGCCAAAGGTTTCGAAAGCATGCCGCAAAGAACGCTTGCAATGAGATGAACGGATGATGAGGCTCTGGCCGCACAGCGAACTTCTCCAGTGCCGTCACCGGCCGCGCGCCTCCGGTCCAGGCACACCAGAGGAAGTG